ATGTACTTCACAGGGCCTGGTTTTCCAAAGCCTTGCAGTTTCAAATATTGACCTTGCAAGGCCAAGAAATTTTCCTCAGGCTATAAGTCTCTGGTGTAAGATAAAGCTTTGTGGCACAGCAAGGTTGCTGGCTCAAAGACAGACTAGTTACTGATTGTTATGTAAGGATACTGAGAGATTGCTGTAAGAAGGAATGTTTGCTAAGATCAAGATTGTGCTGATAAGATCACTTGTCTACTGGAATGTCATCTGGCTTGTTTCACTGAAAGTTACAAGCCTATACTGTTAAACTATAACCCGACCTATGTCTCTTCCTGTAACTTCCTGGTCTAGAAAATAAATGCAGGAAGAGAACCCCAATTTGGCGTTAATTTCCTGAGGAAGGGATCTCTCTTGCTTGAGTGTTCCCAAGGGAAGTTAACCACTTTGGGGCTTCTCACTGTTCAGAAGAGATGGGCTTTGAGTAATCCTTTGCATCTCTGTCACCCAGGGGAAGTGGGGTGACAAATCCGTGGGGGGTGAAGCAACACAAAGCAACAAATCTGTCAGGGACAAGAGATAGGACTTCTGACTCTTATTGAGGTTCTGGATTGGTAAGAGAAAGGGAGATTTTAAAAAATTGTCTAGTGGAGTATGGTTTGCTTTATACCTTAGATTTCAAGAAAGACAGTGGAGCTTCTGGGAGGATATCCCCCATAAAGTAATATGAATCTGGACAGGCAAACTGGGCTTGGCTCCAAAGACCAAGAGTTGATATGTGGTGCTGATTCCAGACATAGAAAAGAGCTGATTCTGAGCACCTTGTGATACAGCTGACTGGCAGTAAAATGGCTGTGTATGTAAGAAATAGCTTCAATACTTGAAGCCTGGGGAACTTTCCTGTAGGACACCCTTGACAGGATGCCCCAAGGGAGGAGGGGGCATTTACTTTGTCAGAAGATAATTTTCCAAAGAAGAGTGAAATCATAAGTTTTATACAGATATGAAATGAACATGTGCTAAACATTTTATTTCATTCATTAATCAGTGAGGGAATCTGACAAATGTCATAACAGTTCAAAATAGAATTGAAAGAACCAACACATTTATACAGAGTTGTAAAATAGCCAGGCTAGAATCAGTAATACGAAAGGATGTGCTATGTGGGGAAAACACATAGCTGCAAAATAGCTTAAAGACAAAGCTTAGAATCAGATGGCCTGGAGGGATGTCCAGGAATGCACAGTGTTTTATTAAATATTTTTTTTCTACAACTTCAAAAGGGGCTGCCGAACTGTCATACCACCTGGCCAGTGGCATAGATTTCTGATTTCATTAACAAGACCAGGTGTTCCGTGTTCTCTTTGGTTCCATAAGGCTCATCCCTTGGGTGGGACCAACTTTCAGCTACTGCTAGTCTCGGGCTTCACCTTAACCTTTCAGTCATTGCTTCCCTTAACACCACCCAATCTTTGTTAATAGTCCCTCCATTAAACTGTCACCTCTCCCCTAGGGTGATGGAGATGCAAAGGATTACTCAAAGCCCATT